TTTACTCTTTTTTATTTTTTCTTGAGTTGGTTTTGATAGTTTGTGTCTTTGTAGTGTAGTAATTTGTCTATCTCATCTAGGTTATCTGATTTGTTGGTATACAGTTGTTCCTATTATTCCCTTATAATCTTTTTTATTTTTATGAAGTTGGTAGTAATGTTCCCTCCTTCATTTCCTATTTTAGTACCTTGAGTCTCTTATTTTCTAGGTTGCTATAGCTAAAGGTTTGTCAATTTCTTTGCTGTTTTTCAAAGAACCAACTTTCGCTTTTTAAATTTTCTCTATTGTTTTTCTACTTTTAATTTTATTTCTGCTCTAATGTTATGATTTACTTCCTTATTCTTGCTTTGGGTTTAGTTTACTGTTTTTTTTCTGTTCATTTAAGATAGAAAGTTAGCATATTGATTTGAGATCTCTTTTTCTTAATATAGCCATTTACAGATACAAATTTCCCTCTGAGTACTGCTTTAGCTACATTTTAGAATTTTTGGTATACCTTCATTTCTTCCTCTCTCCTTTGTGTGTTTTTATTTGTATTCATCTCAAAGTATTTTATAATTTCACATGAAGGAAATCTCTTGTGATTTGTTTTTGACTCATTTTTGTTTAGGGGTGTGTTGTTTAATTTAATTTACATATTTGTAAATTTTCCAAATTTCCTTCTGTTGTTAATTTCTAATGTTCCATTACATTCAGAGCACATACTTTGCATGACTTAAGTCCTTTAAAATTTATTGAGATTGTTTTGTGGCCTAACATATGGTCTGTCTTGGAAAATATTCCATGTGTACTTAAGAAGAATGTCTTCTGTTTTTGTTGGATAGAGTGTTTAGATATCTTTTAGGTCTGCTTGGTTTATAGTGCTGTTCAAGTATTTTATTTCTTCATTAATCTTCTGAGTAGTTGTTTATCCATTTTTGAAAGTGGGATATTGAAGTCTCCAATTAATATTTTTGAGTTGTCTATTTCTCTCTTCAATTCTGTCAGTATATGCTTCACATATTTTGGAACTCTGCTGTTAGGTGTGTATATGTTTATAATTGTTATATCTTCGTGGTGGATGGACCCTTTTATCATTAGAAAATGTCTTTTGGTCTCTAGTAACATATTTGTCTAAAAGTCTGTTTTGTCCAATATTGGTTTAGGCACTCCAGCCCACTGTGGACTACTGTTTGCATGGTATATCATTTTCCATCATTTACCTTCAACCTATTTGGGTCTTTGAATCTAAAGTGCTTCTCTTGTAGACACCATATAGTTGTATCATTTTCTTTTAATCCACTCTGTCAATTAAATTTAATTAGAGGACTGAATTCATTTACATTTAATGTACTTACTGACAAGGTAAAATTTATATTTGACATTTTACTATTCATTTTCTATTAGTCGCATGTCTTTATGTTCCCTCATTACTGCCTTCTTTTGTGTTAAATAGATATTTTCTAATGTGCCATTTAAATTCTCTGTGGTTTCTTTTACTGTATTTTTTTGAGTTACGTTTTTAGTGGTTGCCCTAGGGATGACAATTAACGTCTTAACTTATAACAATTTAGTTCAGATTAATATTAACTTTATTTCCATAGTATATATACAAAAACTTTGCTTCTACACAAGTCTGTTTCTTCCTCCCTTCTTTGTGCTATTATTGTCATATTAGTTATATTCTTACACATTGTCTGTTTGAAACAGATGTATAATAATTGCTTTATACAGTTGTCTTTTATATTGTCTTTATACTGTTGTCTCTACAGAAGTAGAGATACAAAAAATACATTTATCCTGTCTTTTATGTTTACCTATGGAATAAACTTTACAAGGGCTCTTTATTTCTTCATGTGTATTTGAGTTACTGACTTATAATTTCAAACTGAAGTTCCTTCAGTCTGAATGACTTCATTTTATTTCTTGTTGGCTAGTGATTCTTTTAGTATTCTGCGATAAATTTTCCAATTTATCTTGGAATGTTTTAGTTTCTCCTTCATTCTTGTAGGATATTTTGCTGGATATGGAATTTTTGGTTGACACTCTTTCTTTCAAATATGTCATTCTCACTGCCTCTAACCTTGATGAATAATCAGCTGTTGATCTTTTTGAGAATTTCTTTTTTTTTTTTTTTCCTTTTTGTCTTTTTTCGTGTCCGGCAACGGATCGCAACCCTCGGTGTCGCGCCTGTACCGGACCGGGACCAGCAACGGGATCGCAACCCTCGGTGTTGCACCCGCACCTCGCTCAGCCAGTGAGCGGGAACCGGTCTGTATGTGGGATCCGAACCCTTGGCGGGAGCACCGCCGTGCTCTCAAGTGGCGCACTGTAGCAGTGCACCACTGGGCTGGCCCGAGAATTTCTTTTAATTGATGAGTTGCTTCTCTTGATGTTCTCAAGATAATCTTTGTGTCTTTGGCTTATCATGTATTTGATAATGGTGTATCTAGTTTATTATCTTTGAGTTTATTGTACATGGGGTTTAGTGTGCTTCTTGGATATGTAGATTAATGTTTTTCATCAAACTTGGGAAGTTTTCAGCCATTGTTTCTTTAACCATTCTTTCTGTACCTTTCTTTTTCTCCTCTCTTTCAGGTCTCTCATTATGCATATGTTGGTATGTGTGATGGTGTCCACAGGTCTCCTGAGAATATATTCATTTTTCTTTATTCTTTTTTCCTTCTTTCCCTCAGACTGGATAATCTCAATTGACCTATCTTCCTGTCTCTTTATTATTTTTTCTGCCTTCTCAAATATGCTGTTGATCCTCTCTGATGGATTTTTTATTTTGGTTATTGTACTTTTCAACTCTAGAATTTCTATTTGGTTATATATGATTTCTGTCTTTTTATTGATACCTTCTATTTGGGGGGACATCATCTTCAACTTTCTTTAGTTCTTTACATAGTTTTCTTTAGTTATTTGAACATGATAGTTGGAGATGTAAAGTAGTTTTTTTGTTTGTATACAGCAAAACATACAAAAATATATGAACAAAAAACTGTATCACCCTTCAACTATCATTCCTTTTCTCTCCCTTTTGTTGTAATCAAACTCCTTAACAACATTCTTCCCAACTTACATACTATTCTTTAGTGTAGATTCTCATTATCTATTTTATTTTGATCTCATATTAATCATTTATTTCCAAATACTTATTGAGCACTTTCTTTCTTAGTGTTCTAAACCTGGGGACACAATAGTAAACAAGACTTAATCCCTGTCCTTGTGGGGCTTACATTCTAGAAGGGAAGAGAGACAAGAAACACAATACACTATCAGAGAGGGACTAGTCTAGTTAGAATATAAAGCAGAGTATATAATGACCAACAGAGTGGGTTCTGGATAAGGTGGTCAGGGATGACTTTTTGCAGAAGTGGCATTTTGTCAGAGGCCTTAATGTCTGTGTCTTTTTCATTATCTTCCCAGTAGATCTCAGAATCAAAGCGTCAGGTTTACTCAGACCATGGTTTCCCAGCTTCTTGTCTAAATCTGGAAACTACAAGCAAAAGTTACCTGAAAGAGTGATCATTTTCTTCTATCTGCTTTAAACAGGATATATACAAAGCTAGTAGCATTGTGTGTGTGTATGTGTGTATAAAACCACTATTTTTACAGGAAAAATAATTTTTTTCTCTGATGTTCAGCTTTAGGAAAACTTGTCATATAAAAATATGAACATTTAAAAAATAGACTTGACTGCCTTTCAAAAGAACGACATGCTTCATGTTAGTACCTTATGAGGCATACTTATAAATCATCCAGTAATAAAGTGGTAAAAATTAGTTTTTAGCCTCTGAAAGGAAAAAAATATTTCTAAAATATCCTGGATAATTTCCTTACAAAGAAACTGTACACCTCAATTTCACCCTTAAAGAAAGGTTATTACATATTGTTAAAATAGTTCTCATAGAATCAAGTCCTTAATGAGTGAAGTAGTGGTTCTTTGCATATATTCCTGAAATTATTACAGCACTCTTACATAGGATTAAAAATTTAATGAACACACCCAAGTTTATACTTCCAAATGAATATTGGTTCCTTCAATGTAGTCACCTAGGAAATTTCAGTTATTTCAGTGATTCTGTTGTCGCTACAAATGGTTTGTGGTCTCTTAGAACTGCTTCAGAGCAACTATACCTATCAGGTGAAAATCATGATAATTTGCACTCATTGATTTATTTATCTGACAGATATTTATTAAAATATCTATAATCTTCTAGTTGTGCTCATTTCTAGCTTGATCAAAATGAAAAACAAAAAACATGGCTTCTGCCTTCATTATGTTCACAATCGATGGTTTTGGTTTTTGGAAACTGCCAAAAATCATTTAAAGTTGAATTTGGTAGGTGAAGGATAATAGTGAATACCGTTTTAGTGAAAAATAAGGAATGATATACAGAAATTGGTTTTTCTTTTTTCCCCTCATAAAGTGGTTTTCAAAGTGGTGTCAAAGAAAATTTCCCCGCAAATTTTGAACTAAGATAGTATCTTTGGAATAGATCAATTGCTTGCTTTGGTATCCAATTTGAAAGAGTAGCAATCATTTATATAAATGTTAACATTATTATTTTTACTTTTATTAGCTTTTATGTGTACATATTTTGAAACTTATCCACCAGCTTTTGTTTGGTTAATGTGAAACTTCTGAGATAGGGCCCTGGTACACAAGGCAGACACCTAAATGTGATTGTCATATTGATCTTTATAGATTTTGTGTATGTATTTCAGTTTACATAAAGTGTAGATTCTAAGCATGCCCTTGACTAGTTCTCTTTAGTTTTTTTCATGTATGTGACTATACTCTTAGGAATAAACTAGAAGTATCTAGTTATACTTCATGTGGAAGTATGATTATGTCATAAATAAAAGTGGGCTAAAAACCAGTTTTACCCTACACATCCAGCTCATGCTGTAAGAGGAAAAACATATTCTTACAATCAATACAGAGAGCCAGGAGGCCAGTGCACTGTTCTAGTAGTTTCATTTGTAGTAATACACCGTGTTTGTCTCCACAGGGGGATCTTTGGATGTATATAGGAAAATTCCAGAACATGTCCTTGGAAGGATTGCAGTAGCAGTAAGTATGGTTTCAGTGTTAGGAAACTTGGGTGGTGCCTTCTAGTGATGCCTATTCTCCTTATCCTCAGGGTGTTTGGGGGGGTTTTTTGTTTTGTTTTTTTCAATCCCATTTGGCTGCCAGGGCCTTCTTAACTTTCTTCTGCTTTTGTCACTTTGTCCATTCTTCTTTTCATAGACCAACCTACTGTAACAATATAGTCACATGACATCCTTCAGCCTCCGACCTGTTCTAGTTTTGTATATTTGTAGGGACCTTAGTACTCTATTGACTAGCAAAATTTCCAAGTTCTTCAAAAAGAAACTGTTTTTTGGACATTTTGTAGTTATAGACATGATTAGAAAATACTTGAAAAAGTCTTATTATTAAAACAGTCTATGAGGAAAATACTATTTTGTAATTAAAGATTTTTGCAGTCTTTTTATGTTCTTGGTTTTTACTTTAACAACTACATCTACACAATTATTCCATTTATGATAAAAAGCAGTTTTCCTATTTTCTATATTCACTAATAAACTGATAAAATGTAAACTAACATTACTATATAAATTCCAGACTTCAAATTTAGAACAGTGTTTGCTAAACAGTGTCTAAGAGAAGTCACGGGGTGGTGTAACAGTAAACAATTGCTAAACTAAAGGCACTCTGATAACTTAAGTGGTTTAATGCAGAACAAAATGATTATACCATGTGCCATTTAATTAAATGGCTGCTTTTCACATTCATTATACATCAAACTGACAACTCAAATCCTTTAATCCAACATGGACACTTGTTTAGTCTTAGTTCATTGTGATTCACAGCTTTCCTTTTTTCTTTCTAATTATTAGTGTGAACTGCCCAGGGTGATGAGAACTTTCTTTTCTGATGCTGTTGCTGCTAAGCAGCTTCTAATTTATATGTGTGGTGGATTAGTTTAGTATGAAGTTTGAGTACTTAAATCACTATTTTAGATGAAAATAAAAATGTTTCATTTCCTCTTCTAATCTCAGAGGGGAATGACTGCTTTGTGGCTTTTGGCAGTTCTTATCTCTAAAGTTTAATAACATGTATAATAACGGGTGAAAAAAGGCAAGGATACCAACTGAAAAAGAAAAAAGTATACAAGCTCTATATACTCAATTGTGTATTGAGCTTGGCAAAAATAGAAGTCTGCATTCTTCAGTAGGGAAGTGTGTTTTTCCCGGACTTCATAAATCTTACCTCCCTCTTGTGTAGGGCATCCACACAAGGCCGCTGGTCTTTTTAATTCTACTGGAGTGGGAAAACTGTGAAGTGAATGGAGTCAGCAGAAAAAATAATTCAGCTTCAAATATAGGGCCTGCCTACTGAATAATAGAAAATTGGACACAAATTATTTTAGTGAAAGGCATTAATATAAATACTAGTTCAAAGCATTATTTACATTTGCCTTTATATTTTTTAACACTCGGGTGGCTTTTTTTTTTCTTCCTAAAATGTGTCTAAGTTCTCCGGCTTTTATGGCTCATAGTAATGAAAACTGCTTGTGACCAGAGTAGAAGAAATACTTTTTTTTTTTTGGTCCTTTTTGAGACCGGCCGCACCGCGCTCAGCCAGTGAACGCTGTGAGTGCACCGGTCATCCCTATATAGGATCCGAACCCGCGGCGGGAGCGCTGCTGCGCTCCCAGCGCCGCACTCTCCCGAGTGCGCCACGGGGTCGGCCCAAGAAATAACTTTTGATAATTTTGTTCTTCATCTGCCACTTTTTATAAACTCTTCTGGGGCCTAAGCTTGCATAATACCTCCAAAGTATGTTTTTTTGTGTGTAGAGTAGGCTACAAACTTGGATAATCCTTTGTTGCAGTTGACAAACACCAGATTGACACACAGCTAGTTCCTGACACTTAGAAGATTGTACCAGTCAAAATAAGACCAGCAAATTGATGGGTTGTAGGGCATGGTTTGTAAAGTAAATGTTCTCACAGCCTGATTAGGTTCCCAGTATCTTGATTATCTTCCTTATAGTGTTTTAAAGATGGCATCAGTATCTTTCCCTTGAGTTCCCCTAGTGAGGCCAGGAAAGCACATGGGTGCTATTGCCAAGTCAAAAGCAACAAAATCAGAAGGAGAGAGAAGGGAAATAGGTGTATGTTGAGTACTTCCTGTGCCACTCACTGTCACATGCTTTGTGTACTAATATTGTTTCATTTAGTCTTTATAGCAACCCTGTATAGTGTGGATTACTGAACATATTTTATACATATACAGGATGAGGTTTAGAAAAATTAAATATCTTGTCCAGAGTTGTCATCTAATTAGTCAGTACTAATTTGAACACAAGGCTGTCTGACTCCAGATCCCTTGCTCTTTCCCTCTACTTTCCAAAGAGAATGAGAAAAAAGTAGAGGGAGGAGTGAAAAGGAGAAATAGGTTAAAAAGGAAAAACAAGAAATATGAATAAGAGAATAATGAAACAATATCTACATTTATTTTTCATATTCTTTCCATGTCTTAGAACCACATGTAGGCATTTCTTTCTCTCCAAATTAACTTTATTTCCTAGGTTCTAATAATCTGGCATGTAAGCTGCTCTGTAGACCCAAAGTTCATTGCAGGATGGACCCCTGTCATGCTCTATGATATGTGGTTCACATTTTCTCTTGTAGGATGTATAGCAGGAAAGTATTTTTCCACAGAGAAATCCATATAAGCTATCTGATTTCAGTCATCCAATTTGCTCAATGATTTTTATCCACTATCCATTTGAATCTGGTCTCTTATAAAGAGGAATGCCTTTCTGCCTTTTCCTGCCACATAAAACATTTTATTTTTCCTCTCATTTCTGAAGCAGTGACACTGTGTACTGTATTTTGAGTGCTAATGTTGATTGAAGTTGTCCCTGAAAGAATGTGCACTTGACATGTCAAGGAGTGAGTGATTGACAGCAGATATAAGTACTTTTAGTGTCAAGGCTTTGTCAAGTCGTTGTTGTGAAACCTAGCCTACTGAATACCCTCTAGATTTTCAGTGGACAGATTCTAGCTCCCTTTTACGCTGATATTTATATGCTTCTAAAGGAAAATGAAATCTAGTTTGACAAAGTTGGAAGAATAATATTTTCTGTTTGAATCTTTAGCAAAATTTATGATTTTAGCAGATATCATAAAAATCAGTATTTGTTTTACTTTTATTCTACCTGACTATCTGAATATGTTGAATTGCCTTCCCTTTGTGTGCTTTCTGATTATTCACTTTCTGTGGCTCCAGTTTTCAGTGGTGAGCTGTTTTTAATGGGTAGGTTTTATAATATGCAACTAAGCTTCTAAATTGAGAAGTTTAACCCTAATTCCTCAGAACTCAGAAGATTATTACTTCCATGCTAAATAAAGTGACTTCTTCCTACTACTTACAGAGAAAATTGTTTTTGTTATTGACATTATTTCCATAAGCATTTAAAGAAATGTTTTTGTCCTGTTTCCTTCTTAATAAAATTATTGTTATTAATATTTCGATTTTTAAAAAAATGTCTTACTGTCCAAGAAACATGTTTTATTGCGATGCCAGTTATTGCAAACTCTAGAAGAAATCATTCACTATAAAAATTTATTCCATTCTCTTAGAATAGACAAACTTATAGTGGAATTGATCATACTATGTTAGCAGATCTTTCAGGAGAGCATTCCACTCTATGACAACAATGAAAATATGGTAACCTCTGCTCAGCATTAATTGATATAGATTTTGTCTTCTAAGCTCTTAGTCTTTCTTGATCAGCTAAAATCCTTGCATATTTAGCCCCCAACCTTGTGGATTTTCATGTTCTTATAGTCCTGACTCACCAAACATTTTCTTTTTTTTTTTTTTTTCTTTTCCCTTTTTGTCTTTTTTACTGACCGGTAATGGGATCGCAACCCTCGGTGTCGCGCCTGTACCGGGGACCAGCAACGGGATCGCAACCCTCGGTGTTGCGCCCGCACCGCGCTCATCCAGTGAGCGGGAACCGGTCTCCACATGGGATCCGAACCCTCGGCGGGAGCTCCGCTGCGCTCCCAAGCGGTGCACTCTCCAGTGCGCCACCGGGCCGGCCCTCACCAAACATTTTCTATAATGATGGGTACTTTTAAATTCTTGTAGTTAATTTTGGGTAATAGTGGATCATTCATTTTATCTGGTATCTATCTAATTACAAATAGTTATTCTTGAAATTGGTAGGTTCACGCTCAGGTGCATACAGGGTCAGTGGTTGTGAATAAAACATGTACTTGCTTTCTACAACAATTTCTGTGTGAAGATTTTGAAAGTTTTTAATGGCAAGCACTGATTCAATTTTCCACATAGAAGCTACTACTTGTAACACATGTACCTAGAGGCTTGCCAACATCTTTTTTCAGTGTCTCATTTGACTAATTATTCTTAACTCAGGCTATTAAAGTGAAAAATCCAAATCTAGTTCAGATGTTCCTAATTTTTCATTTTTTTCCTTGACCTGCCCTTTTAATATTGCTTATTATGACTTCTCCATCTGTATGCTTTGCACCAGCCAGACTGGTTTGAGAGAATCATCTTGATCTACTTTCCTACCCCAATACATTAAAAAACATTTTTTGGAAACTTTTTATTTTGAAATTATTTTGGTAAACTTACAGAAAAGTTGTGAGAATAATACTAAGAATTCCCACAGATGCCTCCCTAATTAACAGTTTAACACATGTACTTAAAAATCTATATACATATTTTTTCCTGCAACATTTGAGAGTAAGTTACAGAAATCATGGGGGGTTTTTTTGGGGTTTTTTTGTCTTTTTCCGTGTCCGGCAATGGATCGCAACCCTCAGTGTTGCCCCCGTACCGGACCGGGACCGGCAACGGGATCGCAACCCTCGGCGTCGCTCCCGCACCTCGCTCAGCCAGTGAGCGGGAACCGGTCTGTATGTGGGATCTGAACCCTCGGGCGGGAGCGCCGCCGCGCTTCCCAAGTGGCGCACTATCCAGTGCGCCACCGGGCCAGCCCAGAAATCATGGTTTTTACCCCTAAATACTGTAGGGGTATATTTCCTAAGAACAAGGACATTCTCTTACATATCACTGTGTAGTGATTAAAATTAGTAGATCAGTACTGATAATAATGCTATTATCTATTCCACAGTCCTTATTCAAATATTTCCAGTCCAATAATGCCCTTTATAGACCAAAGAAAAAAAAATTTCTGGTCTAGCATCCAGTCTAGGATTATACATTGCATTTGATTGTTATGTCTCTCTAGTCCCTCTTAATCTAGAAAAGTAACTTAGTGTTTCTTTGTCTTTCATGACCTTGATATTTTTGAACAGTACACTGCCTCAACACTTTGATTATATATTTTTACCTTGGCCTAAATGCTTTCTTTCTTTTCTTCACATCAGTTGAATCCATTACTCAAGGCCCAACACCTTGGTAAGGCCTTCCTGACTACTGGCAAAAAAGTGGTTCCTATTCTACCACTGGCCTATTTCCTTAGTTAACTTTGTAAAAGTGTCTATCATTGGTCATAAACGTCATGACTTCAAAAAAAAGTTTTACACGTGGAAGTATAGAAAATAGAAAAAGTTTTTGTCCCTTTTTCCTGTCCCTCTCCTCATCTGCACATAGCACTATAAAGCATAATTACTTCCAGATCACTTTATATACACATACACTCATTTCTTTCATTTGGCCCACCTTATCTTCAGAATATTTTATAAGCTCATTAAAGGAAGGAACCTGTAGCTTTTACATTTGGTGTCCCCATAGAGCCTGGCAAAGGAATGGGAGATGTTCAATAAATGCTTATTGACTGACAGAGTCTTAAAGGAAGAATTGATTGATATGTTTAAATGTGAAGGGTTTCCTATAAAAAACGTAACAATAATGTTTTCTCTTTCCTGAATTTAGGTTGTTAAAGGCCTTACCTATTTGTGGAGTTTAAAGATTTTACACAGAGGTATGTGCTGGGCTTTCAAGCTCTGACAATTTGGGGTGGGAGTGGGGCTATCCAGATACCTTGATTTTTTTTTTTTTTGTCCTTTTTGAGACTGGCCGCACCGTGCTCAGCCATGAGCGCTGTGATCGCACCGGTCATCCCTATATAGGATCCGAACCCGCGGCGGGAGCGCTGCTGCGTTCCCAGCGCTGCACTCTCCCGAGTGCACCACGGGCTCGGCCCAGATACCTTGATTTTTAAAGTGAATAAATTATCTGACATTTAAGCCAGCCGATATATAAAAAAATGGCAGCTTTATAAATGTTATTTTTTAAATTTTCTCCTTCAACTGCTCTCATTTAGATTATAAACTTGGTATTATATTTTTGTGAATCATGTTTACCAAACTTGTAAAAAGTTATTTCATACTATTTGAAAATGACAGGATCTCAGTTGTCTTACTTAACACTCATTAATGCAAAACCTTCACTTTCTGTACAATCACATCCTTCCTTTTATGAACACTTAAGATATCATATACTATTCTTTAACAGATTGCTTCACATACCTGGAGAGTGAAACTTTAAATAAGGAATTGGTGAAAGCATCAGAAATAGTCCCCTGGGCTAGTAACATAACACATGAGAGAACATCAGAAAACTGTTGAATGTTACAGAAAAAACTGCCTTTTGTTTTTTTTAATGTTCCCCAAATATCTGAATTCATTTGGAGCAAATTATTAAGTGACAAAGACTATAACAAGGCAACTTCAAGGGCTAATGTTACTAACAGTACTGTTTAATTTTACACATCTCACATCTGCTCATCCTACGTTTATGTAAATTTGGGAAATGCAACAAGATACACAATAGATGTGATTAAAGGAAAGTTTTTTTTTAAAAAAAGGTATAAACTATGAGAGGGAGGAAACAACTGTTGTCTTCAACTGTAATATCACATCTGTCACTAAGGGTTGTTTTCTTTTGTGGTGGTTTTAATATCCTAGTGATTTCCAAATTTCTTAAATCCTCTTTCCTCTTTTAAAGAGGGTATCTAGTTTTTGACAAGTAAAATGTTAATTTGGTTCTTGAAGGTATTTATGCTGATTAAATGGAATCATAAAGCAAGTTTTTCTTTAAAACCAGTCTGCTCTATTTCTAAGAGTGTAGTATAATGTAGATGTAGAGAGAGTGAGCTGAGTTGTGTTAGTATTACTTTCCATGGATATAAAGTATGTAAACACATCTGGTGGATGAAAGAAAAATGGAACACTTTTCACTACCAAGATTAAGAGAGAATGGTGTTTAACATGATATGACTTATCTTGCTTCTGTTCCTTGTACTTCCACCTCCTTACACCCACCAACCCATAAAGTGGTTATAGCCATCTTAATAGGAATTAACCTAGTGGTTAATTCTCATCACTTTATTGATTTTTATGAGCATCTGCTATCCATTAAACAAAGGAACTAAAGGAAGGCACCAATTCTCAATAGCAAAGCCTTCATTAAAAGGACCATGCCGTGGAAATACAGGTGTTAATATGAAAGTGAACCCTAGGATCATCCTATACTCTAGGTTTACAGGATAATTCTGGTTTATAATGAATTCTCTTTAGCCATACCTTTCTATGAGGAATCTTAGTAGCACTAAGAACTATAGTGGATAGTGAAATACATTTTAATTATTCTGCAGTCATCTTTATTTTTCCTCTTTAAAATTAGAAATCATGCTTATCAGCTAATATACCTCTAATATCCCTATACCTAAATTATTTGGTTTTAGTTTTACTCTGTTTGAGAGAAATAGCTGAATTTTTTATATGAAATGCAGTCTTGATAGACCTCTTTCAAATGGATTTGTCTGGATCTAAAAGGCGAGTGAGATGCCCAGTACAACCACACTGTGATCACTGTGGGCATGTGTGTTTGACCAGAACCTCTCAGAGGCCAATAGGTCATTCTTCCTAGCTCTGGATGCAACTTGGGCTAAGAAAAGCTCTTTGATCAGTGACGTACAAGTGATGTATGAGGGCTGTACTGGTTTAACTGATTGAGGGGATGGAGGTTTCAAAAGGGAATCCTGAGCTCCTACTTCAGTTTTTGGTCTGTGCTGGCCAGTCTGATTCCCACAGAGAGTAACCTCCTATAAAATACCACTAGTTGTATTTGTCTGTGAGAGGCTGAGTTGGGGCAATGGTAGTGGGCCAACAAACCCTCTCAAAGGATTTCAGTTTTAAGTAAATACCAGTGCGTGAATGTGCGTCTACATCTGTCTAAATGGAAAGACTAAAGAATTACAGTGCAAATGAACAATTATTTGCCAGTAGTTATGGATACTTAACTATAGAAATAAATATGCTGTGGTAATACACCTCATTAAATGTATTTATATGTTTAGCTTTGAGTTTCATAGCTTTTCCTAGCTTTACCTTCTGGATTTTAAAGCATATGTTTTTATTGAAAAGTGGAAGAAGCCAGGTGTCCCTGAGAGACTTTTGTAAAGAATTGTAATGAGAAATTTACCCTAGACTGAGTAGTTGTTAAGTTAATATTTTACAGGTTTTGTCCATATTTAATAACTTGGAATCCATAAAAATAAGATTAAAGATGCCTTTTTATTTACCAAAAAGCTATTTAATTTTCTCCTTGATTAAAAAAATTGTAGCTTTTTAGATCAGTTCAATCAGGCAATTAAAGATCAGAGCTTTTAAGTTCAGCTAAGGCAATTAAATAGGTAATGTACTTGTTTATACACTTTTGCTGTATAAGCTTATTGCTGTACTTTCTTAAAAGAACATACACTCATTTTTGCTTTCTCTAAATGAATGATGATGGGAATTCTAGCTGAATATGTGTCACATTGTCAAATCAAAGACAGGGGTCCTTCTGTGGGGGTTGGGGGCGCCTGTTATGGGAGCTGTGAGAAGACAGGCAGTGAAAAGAATATAGTGAAAGAGAAATACTGATGCGTGATCTAAATCTCTTCCTCCTTTGTCTTGGTCTAAGTACCTGTGTTCTCCTCTGATCATCATTTCTAATGCTGCCCCTAAAAACCAGTGTAAAAAAAAAGAGCGAAATTGCTTTGTACTTATGAGCAGAAAGTTCAAAAGATTAAGAACTGACGATGTGTTCAGTTACCTTCTCTAGTGAGAAAAGAGAACAAACTTTCTCATATTTAAATAGCTTCCTTGGAATTCAGTGGTCCTGGATTTTTAGCTATAGAAAATGTATATATCAGTAGTATATATTGTAGAATTTATAAAACACAGTTAATGTCTTCCAGACAAACTGTTGAGAATGTAGAGTCTTTCCTATTATTCATATCCAGTGAGGACTGTAGAGCAGAATGAAATCTGAACAAAAGCAGTGACGAACTACCTGGTCTGAGGTTTGTTAGTCTGATCGAAATTCATTTATTTGCTAGTATATTATGTCAACTGGAAATTGGAGTAGAAGTATTGCTATTCATAATGGATCATCAAGTATTATATTCAGTCAGGTGTTACTATTGTTTATTTTGCTCTTTTAAAGATTTGGTTGAGATTATACATGAGAATACTTTATAAACTATTGAATGCCAATAATGCAGGTATGTTTTTATTATCGCTATGAATTAATCACTTTATCAAGTTGATATACCCCACTCCCAAATTAAGCCAAGGAGAGAGTTTATTATACTTTATATTACTGGGTTAAAAATTATGAAAATCTTTTCTCTAAGATAAAGCAAATATGATGATATCACATGAGGACGTAATTATTAAAAATGTTTGAAACTCCCACCAAGATTAGCTACTGTGGAAAAATTGTCTTTATTAAAAGGCGTATGTGAGAGTCCTATAAGCATAGCATGTGTTGACTGTGGGTAAAAACAAAGAAAATGAACAGTGAGAAAGTCTGTTAGGCCAGATCTGACGTTACAGCAAACCTTGCAGCTTAACTTCAAAACATACATCGCCACTAATGAGGTGAGAGCCCTGCATATTAATAAACCTACAGCTCTAGTCATCGCCATCATTACCCACATCAAACATAAATACAAGATTAACACCTATGCCATTTCTTTGGAAAATGTGAAAATGCCCTGGCAGTAACTGCTTTCTCTTTTCCTGAGGATAAAAAATAGAAATGGAAGGATAATGAGAATAGAGCTTAGATTAAGAAAATAAAATTGACAATCAGTCTGGGGCAAACTTACATAGATGCAGAAGTTTATAGAAAGAAAAAAAAGACCTAGAAAGTTGGTGTCCCAGGACGTTTTTGTATATACGAACCTGGCTAGTTTCATTTACTTTCTCCAATAGGAGTGCTTTTTAAAATATATATTTTTGCAGAAATGTTGGATACAAATTCTATCCAAATAGATTTGTGTTTAGAAAAGTTAAGTCTTGTAGTTTCAGCATACGTGTTATAGATTTTACTTTCTACTCCTGGCTTTACTCTTTTTTAAATCTGGCCTCAATAGGAAATACATTGTGATGCTGAATATACTAATTAGTCTGATCTGATCATCACGCATTGTGTATATGTATTGAAATATAACTCTGTATCCCCAAATATGTATAATCAACACATCTCAATAAAAAAATAAGAAAAAAAAATCTGGCCTCACACAGATGTTCCAATTGGTGCTACCTTAGACGCCAGAGTCAGTGTTGTTAGTTTGTTCATTCAGCAACTGTTTACTTTATACCTGCTGTGTTCCAGGAACCATTCTAGGTACTTGGAATACATCAGTATGTACAACAAAAGATTTCTACACTCATTGAACTTATATTCTGGCAGGTGTCAGGTGGGTTGGGAAATGATCCATAAATAATAAACATAATAAATAAGTAAATACAGAGTGTTTTAGAGAGTGGTTAGTAATATACAGAAAAGAAAAAGTCGATCAAGCTTAGGGGAGGCAAAGGGCAAGTCGCAGTATTAATCAAACAGCCTTCATGGAGAAGGTGAGTTTGGAGTGAAGGCCTGATGGAGGAGAGTGACCAGGTAAGCAGGTACATGGGGGAACAGGTA